AAATATCAATGCCAAGTGGGAATCAGAGACCCCAGCCATCGACTTGGTGAAAGGCGTCAGCTCCACTATTCAGTGCTCGTTTGACTTTTCATAACCTGTCCTGGCAGCAAACGCCTCATAGGAAAAGACTGCACTGCCATCTCTGTCTGCTTCTCCTCTTCCACCAGTTTCTTATAACCCCAGAAAGCCACACACCTACTTCCAGGGCATCTAAAATAGGTTTCTGTTGATTCTGAGGGCTGTATCAGAGTAGAACTGTGTCCCAGTTTTCAATGGCTGTTTTTTTGGTTGTAGATCACCACACCTTTCTTTCTCGGTGGCTCTGGGTTAATTTGAGCCTCCATCCTTTCGGTTAGCTGCCGAGTGTTTAACCATTTGCACCTTCCACAGTCTCCCCCAGTCAGCTACTAGGCTAAAAGGAAATAATTTATTTAATCATGTTCTTCCTGTATCTAGGATATTAAGTCCTGGCACTAACTAAATTGAGCCTTGTGACAAAAATGTCTGAGCATCATTTTAGTGTTAAGAGAGCTCCAAGGTCCAACTCCACATGAAGCACTCTGAGAGTCAGTTTCTCCCAGTGTCAAACCACACCAACCAACCCACAGGACTATGGTGAGGGTTTCTTGGCAGTCCGTTTTCGCTCCCCACAAGCCCTACTCCCCTCCACTTGTTCTGCCCCCCCCCCACTCTTCCCTTCCACCCTGGTATTCCTATAGATCTCTGAGGTCTCAGTATCCACTTTTCTAGGAAGCCTGCAAGCACCCCCTCCCTAACAGTACATTTTACAAAATACCATCACTGGCTCACCGTAGGAATTCACATGGAATTCTTCTGTATTCAGGGACCTACTAGATCCAGAGTCCCCATACTACAGCCTGCAGGTCTATCCCACCAAATCTGTTTTTTTGTAAATAAAGTTTTATTTAGAACGCAGCCATGTCAATTCACACATGTGTTGTCAATGGCGGCATTCAAGCAACAGAGTTGAAGAATCGCAATAGGGTCTGTATGGTCCACAATAAAATGGTTACTATCTGGCCCTTTACAGAAAATTTTGTTGACCCTTGGCCAAGACTATAAGCTCTCTTAAGATGGGGCCATGCCACCATTTTATCCCAGGGCCTACCTACTGCAGGAGTCCTGGTGTGGTGCTGTAGGATAAGCACTGGACTGCTAACCACATGGCTGCCCCTTGGAAAACCTAAACAGGTTTGTGATGACTGAGAACTGACTCACTGACACTTAACAACAACACCACCTATCAAATGGCTTTGCACATTAAATATCTGAGGAACACATGAATGAATAAAGTATGATCCAATCACACTGAAGAGCCTGGTGTGGTGCTGTAGGATAAGCACTGGACTGCAAGGTTGGTTTGAACAAAAAGGTCAGTGGTTTAAACTTACCAGTCATTCCTCAGAAACCCCATACATGGAAGCTATGAGTCAGAATCGACTTGACAACAACCATCATATTGAATAGCCAAGGAGTCTGGACTCTGATAGCTTTAAGGTACAGGAAAATGTATGTTCTGTATATGAATGTTTAAAAGAACTAAATTTAAAATATGAAGCCTAAAATCAAATTTTATTGAAAGATTATTTTCAGTTAATTCTCTACCACTTTCAGGCTTCTGGGATTCGACTCCACCTTCCAATACTTGCATGTTGTTGGAGAAATGTCCTTTATCTGTATGACTCACTCATGGACCGACTGGGTTTCAGAGATAACCTATGTCACAATGCACTATGTTTAATTTCAAATGCATAAACAAATGGCATCAGTGTGTCAACTGCCTTTGCTGATCTGCTCACAGGGCTGAAATTCCCATTCAATAGTCTTGCTTGGGGTCCCTTCATTTCTTAAGTGTCTAGTAATTCACTCCACCAAAAGGAGAGTGAGTGCATGTTAACTGGAAATCTGCAAACAGAGGGGAGGCATTCAGGTAAATTGGAATCCCTGGGTAGAGTAAAAGGTTAATGTCTTCAGCTGTTGACCAAAAATCTGGAGGTCTGAGTCTATCCAGAGGCACCCTGAATGAAAGGATGGTGATAGGCTCTGAAAAATCAGCCACCCTATGAGCACAATTTTACGCTGACACACATGGGGTTGCCATGAGTCAGTGGCAATGGGCTGAATGCCAACTGACTGACAATTCAAGTTGCTGTCAAAGTTTATGCAAATCCTGACACTGAATGGAGACCTGCTCACCAATTGGAGGAATTAGAGAATGAAAAGGCAAATGTATAGTGTGCAAAGGAAGCCTGTCAATTTCTATCAGATACTGGAAGGAAGTAATGAAAGCTGATCTTTCTTATGAGAGAGCGAAATCAGCAGACACATAAAAGCCACACAACCAGATCCTTGAACTCTTCAGTCAGGCATCTCCAATTTAGATGCAAGAACAAGCATTAACACCTTGGATAAGAATCATAGATGAGCTTAACATTCAAAATAGAAATTAACAACCTGACAATGGTCCATTTAATATTTTGACTATAAATCCAAATTAACTGTGTTGGGCTAGTTTCCATACTATTTGTTGGGGGGAAAAACAAAAAAACCTTCCAAAAAATTCCAATTGGACATTGTTGCTATGGTTGTTGTTAAGGGCCGTCAAGGCTGTTCCAACCCATAGGGACCCTGTATAGGGTTTCTGAGAAGCAGCTGGTGAACTTGAACCGCCGACCTTGTGGTTGAAACCAAGTGCTTATCCTACAGCACCACACCAAGGTGGACATTGGGGTGCAGATAAGTTAATGACATGAAAAATGAATGTGTCCACATAATATTATAGATACCAGAGTTAAGATAGGAAAGGAGCCACAAAGCAATGCCTAACACCCAGTTATTAAAGCTTGTCTTACATAATTGTATTACTCAGTTTATTGGTAGTGTATTCTTTCAGGTGACCACCCAATAAGTAATCTGTTCTTCCCCATTGCCCTACAAACAAGAAAAAAAGCAAACAAAATAAAAACCCCACAATAGTGGCAACCAATCAAGGCAGCCTCAGTGCACCACACAACTGAACACAACCAATCAGCTGGATATGCTTAGTGTTACTGTGGGTCCACATGAATAAAGGTATTAACGGACAATAAAAGAAAAAAAAAAAAAAAAAA